AGGGATTTCACGTAATTCCTGATTATTTCAGTGATTACGTGAAATCTCCGAGTGAAACAGGGATTACGCGTTTTCACTGAAATATTCAGGGATTCCGCGTATTCACTAGGTACGCGTTCTTACCGTAACATATATATATATATATTATAGTTTATCCACTTTCTAATACGGAGTGAAATAGGAAAGCCGAAGAGCTGTTTTCCTTCTAGGAAAGACACTCATGGGTTGAGGTCGAAGGGACATGAAAAGAAATTGACCTAGACCTGTCAGTTTTTAGTGTGCAAAGCTTTTTGGGAATTGTGAAAGGTCTCTAAATGGTTCGCAGAAAAGACGGACTTTTGTCACTTTTAGCCAGACGCTGTAAAGAAATAAGCCAAGTTTATTTGATCAAGACCTGAAAGAAGAGGACGGGATTTGAGATAGTTTTTTTCTTTTTGTAACTAGAAAGAGGCGAGGGGGGTTGTGGGTGAGGAACTTAGGTGTTGGCACGAGACAATGTTCCATATAAAGAGCACTCTGAAAGAATATCAACTCTTCCAACGCTTGTACAACGCAGGTGCATATTATAGAATCAATTTAACATTATCCAATTGTAAATGATAGACTAGCCAACAATTGTCAGACAACATTAACACGTACAGTCGGATACAAGCAGATAAAATGATTACACCTTCGACAACTGGAACTGCATATTTTTTAAATAGAAAGAATAGACGCAGTCTCACATTCCAATCTATGATTGTTTTATAATAATATTAAAAACTGGAATGACAACAGGCAGGAAATGAGAAAATGGCGCCATTTGAGACGCGCACTAGCATTATTTAGAAATCCCCCGGAGGCAGTGGCAAGAGAATAATTTAACAAATGAAGCTTTAAAAACACTGGTGCATTCACACTTGGTTCTTCTCGCATCGAGTCCGTTGTGTTCATGGAAACCAGTTTCAGTTATGTTTTTGTCTGTGGAGTATTGTTTTAGTTTAGGGAGGTGGAATAAAAAGAAAATAAGCTTGTCAGTAAAGTTGTATGATTTTTGAAAGACTGAATATTGCAATTTTGGATGGGATCTGTATGAAGCGAAGGTACTGGGGTGGGGGTGGATGTTAGGTGTGTGTGTGTGTGTGTGCGTGTGTGTGTGTGTGTGTGTGTGTGTGTGTGTGTGTGTGTGTGTGTGTGTATCTTACTTCAATGTTTCTGTTCCTTTCTTCATCCTTCTCTTCATCTTTCTCTCCCTCCTTTCTTCCACCACGTTCAAATATTGTTTGTCACGCTCATATACAAACCTTATATATTATATATTCTCTGTGAGACACGCACACACACACACACACACACACACGCGCGCGCACACACACACACACACACACACAGAGAAAGAGAGAGAGAGAGAGAGAGAGAGAGAGAGAGAGAGAGAGAGAGAGAGAGAGAGAGAGAGAGGTGTTATTTGATAACGACAAGAAAACCTGAGATAAATGGCACCGGAAGGATAGGCGTAAACAGAGATAGGAAAGCACCTATTCAGACCGACTCAGTCTTTCTTACTCATAAATAAATGGACACATTTACATAGAAAGACAGGTGACAGGCGGATGAAAAGATGACAGTAGAATCTGATATTAGACACTTCCGTATTCAGATAGATAGATAGATAGATAGATAGATAGATAGATAGATAGATAGATAGATAGACAGATATATATAGAGAGATAGAGAGATAGAGAGATAGAAAGAGACAAAGAGACAGAGACAGAGACCGAGAGAGAAAGAGAGATAGAGAGTGAGAGAGAGAGAAGCAAAACGAGAGCCAGCTAAGCAGACACGCAAAAGGTAAAAATAAAGAAAGGAAAACGAAAGAGTTTGCAGTAACAGCCAAAATACTATCGTTTAGATCTTTGAGCTCGCGGTTTGTTATT